CATACTATTTACAATACAGAGTCTATGCCCTAGTGAATTGTCATACCTTTTTCTAAGTTTGGATCGGCTTCCAACATTTTATCCTTTGCATTTTCAATGCTGTGAAGAATCTCCATAAGTTCCTTTAATATGAAGTTTTTTGCCAACATCTCTTCTTCTGGGACATCTTCATTCTTTTTGTCAACAACCAGTTTCCTCCCTTAAGTCACTAAGTTGGCCTGCAGCAATTTCCACCGGCTGCATAGCCATACTCTCTCGAGTGGTGGCAGTGTCTACATTCCCATGGTCAGTGGTTTCTTCTAGACTTTCATTCTATTCAATTCAAATTTCACTTGTGGCAGGATCCTTCATTTCTTTGCTGGCCAATGTCCTCTTTCAATGATCTATTTTTTGTAAAATATTACACACAGGGACACCTGGGTGGCTCAGTCAGTGAAGCGTCTGCCTTCGGCCCAGGTCATGATCTCAGGGTCCTGGATTGAGTCCCGGGTCAGGCACTTTGCTCTGCTTGGGACCTGCTTCTCCCTCTACTCCTTGCTGTGCTCACGCATGCACACGTGCTCTGTCTCTGACAAATAAATAAAATCGTTAATAAAAAAATATTACCTACATTTACCACTGGCAGACATGGAGATAAGACAACTACAAGCTTTGCTGTCTGCATGTGAACTGAATAAGAAATGCACAGTGCCCAATCACCAGTGATTTTGAAAGAAGAAACATGATTAGTCACTGACCAGGATGTTCATCTGTTATTTATGTGGTGACTCATGGATTGAAGAGGCAGGGGCGAAATTTGTATTTTGTGCAATTACAATTAATATACCATAGTAATTGAAATTTGAATCCTGTTTAGGGGATTTGGTGTTATTTAACTAAGCCATGGTAACTGAAATTCATGCATGTTGGAACCATTCAAAGAAAGGATTGTCTGTATACTTTTATAGTTTTTGTTAGTCACCTCTTTAAACTTGTCGGCTACAAAAATGGACATAAATTAAAATTTAAACTACTTTATATCCTTTATTCTTAAGTAGTAAAACGAATTCTGGGCTGATGAACATTACAATTATTATAATTGCTCAAACAACATAAACGTGTTTAAATTAAAAGTAAAAATTTCAAAAATTATTTCAATCTGATGAATTGGGCTATTTTCTTTTCACTTAAGCCATATGTCTTTGGCTAAGTATTGCTTGCAGTTGGAATGAGACAGAGTTTAGATCAACGATATTCCTGTTTTTCATTTCTGTAGATAAAGTCCATGAGAAAATGTGTTCACATAGACAAGTAGATGGGAATGAGAGGAATTTTATTATAGCAGTACCACTCATTTTGTGGATTCTTTCCAAGTTATTTGTCAAAAATGCTCTTTGACTTTTGCTAAAAACAAGGAATTCGAAAACTTCTGACTTACAAAAGTACTCTTTACCCAGTCATTGGAATGTTCACTTTCTTATTTTCCAGGAAGCATACCCCAAAAGCTTTGCCAGATGTTATCAGCTCTAAGGCAGCTATTATACACCTGCGCTCGTTGTGTACTGTACAACTCCTAAGGACAGTGTTCACACTGCACTCTACTTGAGGGGAATGAGCTGGAAGCAGGCAGTGCACAACTTACAGAGCTGTATGTGGTGGCCTTATAAATTATACCTACTATTTTATACTTAGCAGCAACTTATTTAATCCAGTATGTAAATGAAGTATACAAAACTTCCTGTATATATCTATCATTTACACACATTGATAATGACATCACAATCAGCATATCAAACATTTAATGACATAGCAATACTTAGTGGAAAGATGTACTAATACAGTAAAAACAATAAATAAAATTGTTATTTTTAGAAACCAAGGGTCTTTTGAAAAGCAAAACGTGATGTCAAAAGGCATCTAACTCCATGCCAAGCACAATATCTGCCAAGAGTCATTTATATCTCATCTCCATGGTGGCTCTTTATTTCCTTAAGACTTGAATTCACAGATGGCACATTTGTTTTCTTGAACAGTGTCATTACTTTATTTAACTTATGAATGCTAATTATATGTTTCTGAGTGCATCAAATCTATTAGCATTTGCAGTGGTCTCTTTGACAAAGCATGTGGTAAAGAGAAATTGCTCTGGCAGTCCCCTACAGGACCTGCTCTTCCTTTGGCAAGTTGAGGCAGTCTAATATATACTCATAGACACTTTTTTTGGCATTTTAAAAAATTGAGATATAATTAATGTGTAACATATACACTTTTAAGTAATAATTCACAACCAGGAAACGTCAGGCAATGGAAGCAAAAGTTTTTTTTTTTTTTTAAGATTTTATGTCTTTATTTGAGAGAAAGAGAGAGAGCACAAGCAGGGGGAGGGGCAGGCAGAGAAGGAAAAGCAGACTCCCCACTGAGCAGGGAGCCTGACGTGGGGCTCCATCCCAGGATCCTGGGACCACGACCTGAGCCAAAGGCAGATGCTCAACCGACTGAACCGCCCAGGTGTTCCCGAAGCAAAAGTTTTAATTGGTCTGTACAGCAATCTGAAAAGACCGCACCAATGACAATATAGTGAATTCTATTATTCAGTAGTAATTTATCCCATGCCCTCTTGATTCTAGAAGCCCCTGCTCTTAGTTAGGTGGAGTCTATAGTATTTTCTTTGCATCAAAATTGGCATCATAGTCATCTGTGACACTTCAGTGACAAACATGGAAATAATGCCCCATCTTCAATCAGTCACAATCATGGCCTTGAATGATAGCACCAACAATAACATTCCTATCAGTCATGAAGGACAAGCTGTCTATAATCACAACTAACTACAAAGTTTATAATTTTTTTAAAGATTTTATTTATTTATTTGAGAGAGAGAATGAGAGAGAGCATGAGAGGGTCAGAGGGAGAAGCAGACTCCCTGCTGAGCAGGAAGTGCCATGCGGGACTCAATCCTGGGACTCCAGGATCATGACCTGAGCCGAAGGGCATCGCTTAACCAACTGAGCCACCCAGGCACCCAAAGTTTATAATTTTTTGAAGACATGTGTAAAAATACTAATTTCCCAGTTGAGGTTGTGATGGAGAATTAAGTATAAATATCCTTTCATTATAATAGCTTTCATATATAACATTTATATGCCACATCCAACACGCTCTCACATTTGTAATTTTATTTTGTCTTTCCGATAATCTTAGGTTGAGAAGAGTGTGGTATTTTCTGTTTTACATATCAGAAAACTAAAGATCAGAGAAATTTAGTGACTTGCTTAAGGCTGTATGTTACAAAAGTGGCAGAGATGAACCTTAAGCATAAAACAAAATCTCGTATACTTTTCTTCTCTACCAAACTGTTTACCAGATGTTGAGATATTGAATGTTTTGTTTTTCTTCCATTTTGGGTCCAATGCTCTACCAAACTGTTTACCAGATGTTGAGGTATTGAACCTTATTTTGTTCCTTCCATTTTGGGTCCAACATCCATTCTTCTAAATGTGCAAAAAGAATCACCGCCCCTTAAATAGAATACAGATTCCTAGGTCTCCACCTCAGAGAAGTCTGGGTGGTGGTGGTGTTTGTGGGGTACTGTGTCATTAAGATTGACCTGTAGAATGAAACTAAAACCACCCAAATGAGAACAAGCAGATGTTATTTATTCAGCTCTTGCTATAGCAACAGAGTCAGCCACCATCACTTGTTTTTGGCAGAGGCTCAAAGGCAGGCAGGGGAGTGGGAAAACTTTAGAAAACTGAAAAAAGGAGGAAGGTCTCAGGTATCTTCTGATTGGAGGTTGTTGGCCTGGGAAAGCTGGAGGAGGGCTACTAGAAGCAGGGGGTTTTCTATGTGATTTGGTTTGGGGAGCATATTGGTTTTCCCTGGTTGGTCCTGAATTGGAAGTCCAGCAAAAATAGGGAAGTTGGTAGTCCTTGAGGATGTCCTGACTGTTCTGGTCCGGCTGCAGAGGTTATGGTGTGGCTTCCTGGGCTTCTTACATGGTTCAGAGTTCTGTGTTCACATACAGTTTGGCCATTGCCCACATTTGCATATTCTCTCTCTCAGACCATACTCCGAGAAACACACTGGGCTTCTGGTGTTCATTTCATCCTGGTCTCTTTCCTCCCTTACCATAGCTAGACTGTAAGCTCCGTAGGAGCTCTAGGCACCAGAGCCTAGCCCTATCAGACCCTCAATAAAAACTTGCAAATGAATGAATTATAAATGATAAGATTTGATACTGGCTTTTGCTGGAAGAACAAAATGAACCTTCTGGTGTAGCACATGGACATCTTTGATGGGACTTGCTGTCACCAGGAAGAAAGACTAGAGGCTGCTTCTTCCAGCTACTCTGCTCTAAATACCTTAAGCTGAATCCTTCACCCTGGCTGCTCTCCGTTTTTTCTGAAAGCTTCCAGGTTGGTGAGCAAATCAGCCCCAGGGGCTCCCTCCTGAGGTCTCTGCTGGGGGGCGGGATGGTGTTCGTGGGAAAGCGGCAGCTACTTCTGGCATTCTCAAGGCCACCTCGAGCCCAGACCTTTAAGGTTTGCAGCATTCTCTCCACACTTTCCCCCCCATCTCTCCCTCTAGGGCGTGGGCTGGTGAGAGCTACCGAAGGAGGGGGGAAAGGCAAACCCCTCCAGCCCCCACAGGTGGTCTTAATTCGGGAGTTTGTCTAGACCGAAAACGCTCGGGGGTGTGTGCTGTGTTTAAGACCCAGACCCAGGGAGAGAGGGGAAAGTAGTCGCGCAAGCGGTCTCCTCAGAGCAGCCTTCCCACCTGCTGCGCGGAGGAACCGCCGGGAAGGGGCCGCAGCCGCGTGCCCGTACCCCCCCCGCCCCGCCCCTGCTCGCAGCGCGGCCCCGCCACCCGGGAGTTCCCGCGAGTGGCCCCGCGCCCAGGCCGCGCGGGGGGCTGTTGGGTTGGAGGCGGGGAGCAGCCGGGGCACCAAAATAGGAGCCGCTTGTGGGCTGGAGCTGCACTAGCAGGCACCCTCCGCCGCGCCTCTTCCAAAGATGGTCAGAGGGTCCGGAGGCGCCCCCGCCCCCGCTCGCCGCTAGCCTGTCGGCCAGCACCGCGTCCCGGAGCCGCCGCCGGAGGTAGGTGCCCCGCGGCCCCGCCGCCCGGGGCCAGCCGAGGGGGAGCCAGCGGGGCCGGGCGCGGGAGAGCGAGGCCGCGCCGCCTCCCGAGCCCGCCCGCGGCAGAGGCGCGGAGACAATGGCCGCGCGGGCGCCGGGCCGGGCCGAGCGCGGGGCCGCCCGCGGCGCCCTCCCCACACCTGTGCGGCGTCCCGGGGCAGAGGGACGCGGACACCCGGCCCGGCGGGCGGCGCGCGGCGCCCTCGAGTCGACTCCCCGCGCCAGGGCCGGGGCGGGGCGGTCTCCGGGCGGGAACGCGGGCCCGGGGCCCAGGCGCGGGGCGCGCGGCGCGCGGAAACCCCTGCGGCAGCCGCGGGGGAGGGCGCGCGGGGGTGCAGGGGCCGCGGCCCGGCCGCTTTCTTTTCTCTCCTTTCTTAAGCGGAAAGGTACAGGGTTTCCCTTTTCCAAGATTTCTTCTTTTCCAATTATATTTCGATCCTCCGCAGCTCGATGCGACTGGCAAGGGAGATGGAGCTAGTGAAAGAAGGTTGAATTGGGGCCGAGCCGAGACGGCCAAAGTCCGGTCTCTAGTGGGGTGACCCTTCGGACAGTTGGTTTGCCAAGCGGGGCTTCTCTCTCTCGGACCGCCAGCTCGAGTCCGATTTCGGAGACTGGGTGAATGGGGTAGCAAATCAATATTTCGTCTTTAAAAGATTACTGAAACCCCGGGGGGGGGGGGCTCGTTTCAGGCTTCAAGCTACCCGGAATTTAAATTGACCACATAAATTACGAAATAGTCTATCCACATTTTGGGTTTGTTACTTAGAATGCTGAACTTAGTCTAGGTTTGGAGTATATGCGATGCTAATCAGTCATCATAAGGATTGGTGTATTTAGCATTGATTATTTGCGGTAATCTGCAAAACTGAAAACACGTTTATTTCATGTTTATTGCAGCCATGGCTCTAAAAGGACAAGAAGATTATATTTACCTTTTCAAGGATACAGCGCATCCAGTGGATTTTCTAGATGCATTCAGAACATTTTACTTGGATGGATTATTTACTGATATTACCCTTCAGTGTCCTTCAGGCATAATTTTCCATTGTCACCGAGCTGTTTTAGCTGCTTGCAGCAATTATTTTAAGGCAATGTTCACAGCTGATATGAAAGAAAAATTTAAAAATAAAATAAAAATCTCTGGCATCCACCATGATATTTTGGAAGGCCTTGTGAATTATGCATACACTTCCCAGATTGAAATAACTAAAAGAAATGTTCAAAGCCTGCTTGAAGCAGCAGATCTGCTACAGTTCCTTTCAGTAAAGAAAGCTTGTGAGCAGTTTTTGGTAAGGCACTTGGATATTGATAATTGTATTGGAATGCACTCCTTTGCAGAATTTCACATGTGTCCAGAACTAGAGAAGGAATCTCGAAGAATTCTATGTTCAAGGTTTAAGGAAGTGTGGCAACAAGAAGAATTTCTGGAAATCAGCCTTGAAAAGTTTCTCTTTATATTGTCCAGAAAGAATCTCAGTGTTTGGAAAGAAGAAGCTATCATAGAGCCTGTTATTAAGTGGACTGCTCATGATGTGGAAAATCGAATTGAATGCCTGTATAACGTACTAAGCTATGTAAACATAGATATAGATCCAGTGTATTTAAAAACAGCTTTAGGTCTTCAAAGAAGCTGCCTACTAACCGAAAATAAGATACGATCTCTAATATACAATGCTCTGAATCCCCTGCATAAAGAGATTTCCCAGAGGTCCACAGCCACAATGTACATCATTGGAGGCTATTACTGGCATCCTTTATCAGAGGTTCACATATGGGATCCTCTGACAAATGTTTGGATTCAGGGAGCAGAAATACCAGACTATACTAGGGAGAGCTATGGTGTTACATGTTTGGGACCCAACATTTATGTAACTGGGGGTTATAGGACAGATAACATAGAAGCTCTTGACACAGTGTGGATCTATAACAGTGAAAGTGATGAATGGACAGAAGGTTTGCCAATGCTCAATGCCAGGTACTACCACTGTGCAGTCACCTTGGGGGGCTGTGTCTACGCTTTAGGCGGTTACAGAAAAGGGGCTCCTGCAGAAGAGGCCGAGTTTTATGATCCATTAAAAGAGAAATGGATTCCTATTGCAAATATGATTAAAGGTAAGTATAGATTATATTTATTCTATAAATTTTTAGGTGTTCAGGTTAGACCAGTGGTCTAAATTCTCTTGCAAAGAACTTTAAAAAGAATGTATCGCTTTGTAATGCTATCTAGGAACTATAATAGATTATATAAATAATGGTGGACAAAATGTTCCAAGTAGAAGCATAGTAGAGAAGTCCCCAACTTGTCTGAGGTTATGTGATTAGAGTGTGCTCCTCAGACTAGAAAAATATCACTTACATAAGAAAACAGTGCAATTCTACTTTACAGCTCTTTCAAGCCTAGATCTTGCTTCAGGTCTTAAGAATTTATATTTAAGTCAAAGACTAAACGAAAAGAGAAAGTTGGGTGGTTTTATTCATATTCAATTACTCATTTTTGCTTGCTCTTGAAGTTAAACCGTTTTCAGTTCTCCTTTTAAATATTCTTTTTCCCTCCCACTATCGGATCATCTCTCTCTTTTCAAAGGTCTTTCATTAAAACCTTGAAAGTTTCGGTCCCTACAGAGTATAACAAATTACATTCTCAAAAACTAGAGACAGATTGCCCGTGCTTTTTGTGATTCAGGTCTTGGTTCTGAGGGTAAAAGATAGGGGTAGACCCCCTCCCCTCCCTCATGTGGCCCACACAGCCAGGCACACTGTTGGGTTTCAATGTCTGTCTGATAAACACTGTATTTTCTGCTGTGTTCAGTACTGGATTAGCCTTGCTCTCCTTCCCTCCCACTGGCAAAAAAAAAGTTAAACTGAAATCTTACTTAATTCCCTTTACTCATTTGTGCTGGGGAGTTGCACAAAAGCAACTGGTAGGTTGTTTCTAAATTTGTGTCATTTTATTCCCAGTGTTCCTTCCCAGGCCTTTCTGTTTCTGTTTTAATACTAGTGAGGGTGTGGGAATCTGACCTGGTCTGGGAATCTGACCTGGTGTGATCGTCGGACGACAAGCAGGAAGCCCAAGAGGCAGACCAGTCTTGTGATCAGGCACCGTTGCTCCTAAAGCCAGACTGCTTGGGTCCAAATCCCGCCTTTCCATTTCCTTGTTGGTGTTTTGAGAGGATTAAGTGAATTTATGCATGTGAGGTGTGTCGAACAGTGTCTGGAGCAGAGTAAGCACTCAGTAAGCCTTAGGAATTGTTGTTGTAGGTATTATTGTCATTATTCATTGTTCATTATTGTCATAATGAAGATCGTTATAAAGGAACATGTCAACTTTGACAGAGCAAAAATATCTTTCATACTACATCACGTCTGCCCTCCTGCATGCCCGAAGGTTCAGTAGTAGTTGGTAGAGGGGGACAGGGGGGCTTAGAGCCCACTGCTCTTGCTGTTCTGGTTTTGGACTCTGCCTGAGCTTGACCCCCTTCCTGGTCTCCTCCCCAGGATGGTCCTCAATGTCCTCCTGACTCCTTTCCTATTAAAGAAACAAGGAAGGTTCAAATACTGTAGCAGCTGTTGTTAACCTGGATACATTTCTGCCTCTCTTTCTTAATGATGAGATAACAGTTGTCATGGTTACATAGTTAAGAGCATATTTCCATGAAGATGAAAGTTTATTACTTTATTGCTGTTTTAAAAAATCATATCTGAAACACGCTTGCTGAAAAGAAATGCTTCCATGGTGGGTCCAAAGTTAAAGAAAGCCATATGTGTTCTTGCCTTCACCTTGAGTAGAATGGGAGACCCTCATACACTGAAGTACCTCCCCCCGCCACACTCACACTAGCTGTGTCTGAAATTCCAAAGTTTTAGTTATACTTTCACCTTGAAGTTTGATTCCTGGTTATATCTAATCATCCTTGGGAAGGGTAACCCTGTGTCGGTTATACCCAGCTTTGGCCAGTGCTGGTTTTGAGCTTTAAGTTTCTCATTTTTCTGTTGCAAGGGTGACATTACTTTTCCCAGTTTGTTTTATTTTGTAGTCCTGAAGTGAACTAGTAGCTTCCCCTGGTAATCAGAACTTAAATTGGGTAGAGTCAAATTTCAAATTCATTTCCTTTTTTGGTTTGGGGATGTACGGAGAAGAAATAAATACTTGGTTGTTTAGGAGCTCCTGACTTTTTTTTCTCCCTCACCATAACTGCCCTGCTTATAAACTCACATTCACATTGGAGTAGATACGCACAAGGAGCTGGAACTGCACCCAGCATGTATCAGTGGTATGTAAGAGTTGGATGATGTATTCGACTAAACCGATGTATTCGACTAAAACGAGCCTCATCTTCACTTCTCTCTCTCATTTTACTTCCTTTCTTCTCTCTCTTTACTCATCTCTTCCTCCCCATATTCCTGGAGCATCAGCATTTCCCGATTTTCCAAGCTTGGGGCCTCACCATCAGTTTTGCTTGTTTCTGACACAGTCATCAAGCCTTATGTGTTTACCTGTGTCTCTTGCCTCCATGCCCTTCCCTCCACACCCAAAGTGCCTTCTAAATCAGGCCCTCAATACTTTGTACCTGGGCCAATATCTGGATCTTTCGGACTCTTTTTTTTTTTTTTAAAGATTTTTTATTTATTTGAGAGAGAGAGAGTGAGAGATAGAGAGCACGAGAGGGAAGAGGGTCAGAGGGAGAAGCAGACTCCCCGCCGAGCAGGGAGCCCGATGTGGGACTCGATCCCGGGACTCCAGGATCATGACCTGAGCTGAAGGCAGTCGCCTAACCAACTGAGCCACCCAGGCGCCCCTTTCTGACTCTTTTTGTCCTTCTGCTTTTGTAGTCTCTCCCTTCCTCTGTTTAAAAATCTTTAAAATCTTGCTGAATGAAATCTGCATTTCGTAGTTGGGTGCCAGGAATCCTTTGCGATGTGGCTTCCAACTTACTGCATCAGCTTCAGTTCCCATGCGACGACTCCACCTGGGCCACCTGCCCTTGCGCGTGCTGGCATCAAACGGGGCTACTCGCCTTTGCCCACTGAGCCTTTGCACTTGCCTTTTCCTCCGTGTGGGATGGCTTCCTCTCCCCTCTACCTGCTAAAGTCCTACCTGCCGAGACCCAGATCAAATTCTGCCACCTCCGGCCGTGATTTACCTGCCCTAAGCAATGTCACCTTGCTCTGAACGTTCACAGTGGTTCCGTGCCCTGTGCTCTAATTACTTGTGTAAGTGTCTCACCCTCTCTTAAAAGAGTGCAAGGAGCCTTTCTTGTTCATTCTTCCATCCCTCATAGTGCCTAGCACAGGGCCTGGCATCTACTGTCAATAATAACAGAAACAATAATAAACTTAGCCCAATATTCATTGTAAAACACAACGATAGATCAATCTGAAGACATGATTTTAATTAACACTCAGGTGTGGGAAACGCGACTGCCTGTGTCTTACATGAAGTTATCTATGTCATCGGCGGCCACTGCGGTTACAGAGGGAGCTGTACCTATGACAAGGTCCAGAGCTACAACTCAGATATCAACGAGTGGAGCCTCATCACCTCCAGTCCACATCCAGGTAATTAAATACTCTTCTAGATAGCACATGTTGCAATACAGCTTAGCAGTATGACAGGAAGCTAAAAATGGCCTGGAAAAAGAAAATGCTAGATTTATAGCAGACTACCCATGGGTGTAATTAGAAGGCTCAAAATATTCATATGCCCATCTAACAATAATCCAAGCTATTCTGATTAGATCACATCTACAAATACTTTCCCTGATGTCTTTATGGGACACATTTTAAGCCTGTGTGATTAAAAATGGTAGTTTCTTTTTAAATTTTTTTCACCTAGATTCTTTTGTTGTGTTTCTTATTCCTCTCTTGTGTACTTTCTTTCATGTATATACATTATATAAAACACAAGTCTTATGGACAATTAAAAAGTACTAGTCTGATACAAATGGCCAACAGACACATGAAAAAGTGCTCCACATCGTTCAGCATCAGGGAAATCCGAATCAAAACCTCAATGAGATACCACCTCACACCAGTCAGAATGGCTAAAATTAACAAGTCAGGAAAGGACAGATGTTGGCAAGGATGTGGAGAAAGGGGAACCCTCTTACACCGTTGGTGGGAATGCAAGCTGGTGCAGCCACTCTGGAAAACAGTATGGAGGTTCCTCAAAAAGTTGAAAATAGAGCTACCTTATGACCCAGCAATTGCATACTGGGTATTTACCCCAAAGATAGAAATGTAGTGATGTGAAGGGGCACCTGCACCCCAATGTATATAGCAGCAATGTCCACAATAGCCAAACTATGGAAAGAGCCCAGATGTCCATCAACAGATGAATGGATAAAGAAGATGTGGTGTGTGTACACATTGGAATATTACTCAGCCATCAGAAGGGATGAATACTTATCATTTACATCGACATGGATGGAACTGGAGGGTATTATGCTGAGCTAAATAAGTCAATCAGAGAAAGACACTGTATGGTTTCACTCATATGTGGAAAGAAGAAACAGCACAGAGGACCATAGGGGAAGGGAGGGAAAATTGAATGGGAAGTCATCAGAGATGGAGAAAAACCAGGAGAGACTCTTAACTATAGGAAACAAACTAAGAATTGCTGGAGGGGAGGTGGGTAGTGGGATGGGGGTAACTGGGTGATGGGCATTAAGAAGGGCATGTGAGGTGATGAGCACTGAGTGTTATATGCAATTGGTAAATCATTGAACACTGTATCTGAAACTGATGATATATGTTTGCTAATTGAATTTAAATTTAAAAAAAAGTCACAGAACTGCCAAAAAAAAAAAGCACTAGTCTGTCAAACAATTGGGAGGAGTGCCCATTGATTGAGCTCAACAGGAGATGGTTTCTTTTAAAAGCATGTTCTTTCTGGGTTCAAACACTTCCATCCTGTGATAGGCAGAACCCTGTGTTAGCCTTACTTTAACAATCACGAAGGGGACATGTGGTCTGCCCACAAAGAATGGCCAGCCTTCTGCCTTCTGTGTCTTTGTTCTTTGACTTGTCCCTTTGTGAAGAGCTCCGAGGAAGTATGAGCCATAGCCTGTTACAGTTAAGACACGTGTTTAAGGTTTTTCATTAGGAAAGATTTATATCATCATATCACTATACTACTTTGAATCATTTTCCATATAACATTAGGCTTCTTTCTGTGTGAGTCACTGGTGAGCATAATTGGAATTCACAAGCTTGAACAATCTGAGAGTGATAGTAAGTAACAGTTAACCTTCTTGAACACTTTCTATAGGTCAGGTACTGACTAAGGACTTTACATGTAATATTACCTTAAATTCTGTCTACAACCTTGTGAATAGGTATGATTTACCCCCATTTTACATATTTAGATATGGAGGCAAGAAAGGATAAGTTCGCACGGTTTGGAAGTGGTAGACCAGGATTCATTTTGGCAGTCTGATTGTATAATCTGTGCTGTAGCCACTAAGCAGCCCCCCTCTCCTTAAGGGAGCGGGGCTGTCCTGCTCGTGACCAGTGTAACTGTATCCATCCAGGCAACATACATTTCGTCTTGCAGTTCAGGGGAAGCGCCCCGCACCTGGTGCTGCATCTCCATATGCCACGGGCTTTGCCTAACAAGTGACTTCAGCCACAGGCTGTCCTGGCTCTGAAGACATCATGGAACAGGTAGCCTTCTATCTCCTAGGAGCCCAGATGTATTAGCCCAGACTCCCCACCATTTTCTGTTCTGACCAATGAAGTTATAATGGAAAGTAATAATACCAGCTCATATTAAGTAATAGCTAACATTTATTTAGTAAATATGAGCCGGGCACTAACTATTCCACTAATTTTACATGTCTTGATCTATTTAAACCTCACAGCAATCCTGTGAGCTAGGTACTACTGTTATCTCATTTTGTAGGTCACTGGGCACAGAGACGGTAAATAAATTGCCCGAGATCAGTTAGCTAGTGCTCGTTAGAGGTGGAGTTCAAATCCAGGCAATCCAGCAGGGAGGCCATGTTTTTAACAACTGCACTGCTCTCTCATTTGATCCTCCTGTTAACCTTATCAATTAGATATGACTTTGACATCTTTACAAAGAAAACCCAATATATGAAAAGTCAGATTAACAAATCAGAGGGCAGTTATTTACATTACAAATTTAATATATATTTCATATAAGGGTTCTTTTAAAAATAAACATCTTGTAACATATTTAAGTTGTATGTAACTTGTTCACTGCTTGAAAGGGAGTCTAAAAGGCAATGAGATGTAAGCCAAAGCATGAAAATCCATGGCCAACTGAAAAATCAATCGTAAATAAATATTAAATTCGAGTATAAATCAATGGGAACTTATAATGTTTGTCAACTTTTGCTTTCCATTGGACTTTTTCCTGCCATAATGCAAGAAACAAAGGTAGCAAATTGGCCCCCTACATGTTCTGTTCTTTTTGGCTCTCAGTGCTTAAGGTATTTTTTTTTTAAGATTGTATTTATTTGTTTGACAGAGAGAGCCGCAGCAAGAGAGGGAACACAAGCAGGGGAGTGGGAGAGGGAGAAGCAGGCTTCCCGCTGAGCAGGGAGCCCGATGCGGGGCTCAATCCCAGGACCCTGGGACCATGACCTGAGCTGAAGGCAGACGCTTAATGACTGAGCCACCCAGGTGCCCCTAAGATATTTTTAACTGGCTTGTTACCAATATTTAAAATTCAGGAGATTTCAAATAAAAATCATGATTTCTGGCCTTTAGAATAATTGTAGCAACCTTGGACTACATTCCTTTCTGGCAGCGATCACTGGAGCCCCGTAGCGGCTGTTCCCTTTAAGATGGCGCTTGCGTGCTCCATTTCACTAGTCTCTTCCATTCTCATCCCGGCATAGACCTGGGGGCCTGTGCCCTTGCTTCTCCTTATCCTACCCCTGGCTTGCTTTCCGTTCAGCTAGTCCGTTAGCTCCTTAGCCCTTGAAGGCATTTGGATCTGCATCTTGTGAACTGTAACAAGTATGCTTCTTCTGCATTGTAGGAGCACCTCCTGAGGAATGTAAAGTGCCAGTCTTGAGTCTCCCTTATAGATAATAGCTTAGACTACAAAGAAATCATGACTGCTGTTATTTTTCAAAGGTAATATAAATGTTATCTTTGTTTCTCAATGCCTTTAAGAGTGGTAGTTTGGGAAGTGAAAAACCAGGGGACTCTAATTCCATTAAATTCAAGATAACATTTATTGAGACCTTACCTTGGGAAAGATACTATTCTAGTTATTGCATAAGACACAAAAAATGATTAAGAGCTAGTATTCTACTGCTCCAGGAGCCCAGAATCTAGTAGCAAATATACATACATAACAGGAATACAAGGCAGTTATACAAGTAAGTGCTCTTGAAATTGAGGGTAGAAAGAGCTTGAGTCTAATTTAAGGGAAATCTGGAAATCTTAGAAGGCTTCCAAGAGTATGTTGTTATGATTTAGGCCTTAAAGAATGGCTACAATTAAGGTATTTTTTGAAGAAGGTTTTCTGGCAGAAAGTTAGCCAGTGATGGAAGGCAGAAAGGCAAGTTCCAGGTTTATTTGGGTACTGAGTGAATGTATATGATGAGATGTGAGGGGGTAGAATGAGAGATTGGATGGGAGAGTTCAGTTGAGGAATATTTCATGGAGGGCTTTGAATGGCAGTCAGGAAAATTTTAAAAATGGAGCACTACCAAAGGTTTTAGAGCCTTTTAGAATAGATTAGGAGGAACACAGCAAGGAAATCCATTATAACTATTGTAATACACCAGGTGGGAAATGCTGAAAGCCTGAAACGGTAGGAGATGAAAACGCCTAGATGTGAGGAATGTTATGGATTCAACATGGGGAGAGTTGAAGGACAAGCTGGTGGGAAGGGAAAAGAGGAGCTGAGTTGGAGCTCAGTTTTATAGTTTACTGTGGAGGACTAGTTGGATCACCCAGAAGAGTTGTCCAGCAAGCAATGGGAAATATGGGTCTGCAGTTTAGGAGGAAGAGTGCAGGTGAATTTAGAGATCTGGGTGTCATTTGCTTGGAGGTGATGACTGTGGGTGAGGAGTTGGTTGAGATGACTTGGGAGGGTAGGACTAAGTACAGCTATGCACAGAGTCTTGGGAAACAGCACTAGTTAAGGGATGAGCTGGAAAGGAAGAGCGTGGGAAGAACAGGGAAGAAGCAAGACGTGATAAAGGGGAAAAACCTGTGGAGAGCTATGTGAAGTGTGAAGAGAGTTCTTTCCGGGCTCTGCCATTTATTCACATGGCTAATCTTGGGCAGCGGCTTGAGCTCTTGGGTCTTACTTTCTAGTTAAGAAGTTAGATAAGCTTTACAGGTCTTTTCAGTGAGAATAATCTTAGGAAAAAAGTCTAAATCATGGGGCGCCTGGGTGGCTCAGTCATTAAGTGTCTGCCTTTGGCTCAGGTCATGATCCCAGGGTCCTGGGATCGAGCCCCACATCGGGCTCCCTGCTCCACGGGAAGCCTGTTTCTCCCTCTCCCATTCCCCCTGCTTGTTGTGTTCCCTCTCTCACTGTCTCTCTCTCTCTGTCAAATAAATAAATAAAAATCTTTAAAAAAAAGTCTAAATCATTTCAATGGATATTGAATACCTGAAAATATTGTGGTTGTCTCTGAATCCCTGCATGGCTTTATTCCTGTCACTCATGCAACAACGAATACAGACTGCTGGGTATTTATAGTGAATATTTGTGTGTAAACTTTTTGAGCATTGACAGATGGTGCCATTGTTGTACTTAGGCTGAAATTGTTCGTTCCTTCATTTGTCCAACAGAGGTTTGCTGAGCCTTTCCCACATGTGGTGTATAGTGCTAGGAGCTCAATAAACAAGGCACAGTCCCTTAGGCTCAGTAGCTTCGTAGAGTGACCAACAGGAAAAAGGCGGTTACAGCTGTGGAAGAAAAAGTTTCCATCGACAGTAATAGAAGGTTATGTTGTATTTGGGTAACAGGAAAAAAAAAACCTATCAGGAATCGCCTTATTTTAAACATTTTTCCTGCTATAGGAAGATTGAGATATTTTTCTTAACATGAGAACCACAAATTGAGGATTTTTTTAAACTTTGAAATTTAAGAAAAGCCTAGTGAACTCATTGTTGAATCACTTACACCAACTAATAAAATTTCTGAATCATTAATTTTCACAACCATTTGATAGAATGATTCATATAATTTATATAAATAAAGTTTCACAAGTACTGAAACAAGTAAATTCTATAAAAATTCTGCATGTATAATAACTGGAAACTCAGGTAAAATAAATGGGGTTTTCAGAGGTGGAAAAATTCTTATTTTCCTGGCTGTCAGATTCTTGAGAACAACAGTATGTGGACTCAAAGCAAAAATACCCATCTTCTGAGATTTTTCCTTAGCCTTTGAAACCTAGATAGCAAGAACTTTACTGATAAGAATGTGCTTGCATTCTTAAAGGGGAAATCACATTTTTGATTATACATTCTCTCTTCCTAAAGCGGGGTTTATAAGGTTTTTTTTCCACAAAGTAATGGGAGTGCACATTTGGGTACAGAAGGTACAAGGTCCAATTCATTCATTGAGCCAGCAGACTTTTTATTGAGTCCTTACAAGGTTCCAGACACTTGCCATTCCCCAGTAGGAATGGAGACACAGTCGCCACACTGTTAGAGGGGAGAGGGACAGTAACCCAGAAACATCAGACAGTGAGAAGTGCTGTGGAGTACATGAAAACTGGGCGCTGTGCTGGGGATGCCTGGCTGGCCACATCAGGCAGGGTGGTCAGGGGAGGGCCCCCTGAGGAGATGACCGTAAGATGAGACCTGGATGATAAGAAGGAGGCGGCTGTGCAAAGTCCTGGGAAAAGAAGAGTTTCTAGGCAGAAGGAACCCCTCAGCAATGGCAAGCTGAGTCTTCGTTTATCTGTCGTAACAGTAGGGCCCCTGACGAGTCCTGCTCTTCCTTCAGGCCTGCAGCTAGACGTATTTAAGTGTAATCTTATGGTTGATATTCCCAGAGAATGAACTCATAGGCTAGTAGTGGTGCTGGAAATGGGGACGTGGAAGAAGCACGGTGGGGACCAGGGTGAGGCCAGAGAGACACCAGAGGCACAGAATCGGAGTCCCTCAGAGAATGAGCACCGTGGGCATCCCGCCTGCCTCGCCCTAGTGACAGTCCTGGGAAGGGAGAGGAAGTGAGGTTGCAAAAGAGCTGAGTGCCCTGAAGAGCCAGCAGGTTTGCATGTGGATGGGGGGGATACATAACATGGGAAAAATTAAAACAGCCCAGAAGGCTGCCTACACCCCCCAGCCGAGGCAGACTCCCATCCTGGGACCCAGACCTCACATAGCAGCTGTCTGCCTTTGAGCTTCTTTTAGTCTCTTAGGACTGTAGACTCTAGTTCCCCACTAATCTGGTTGTGTGTTTCGCTAACTCCTTAACTTGAGCAGCAGTGTGAGCGAGGGGAGCCAGGTCATCCATCTGGCCCCCGGGGCGACAGATGCTACAGATCACCTGCCCCTAGTTGTAGGGGGTGGCTACTAAGACCCGAAGGAACCTACACCCGTTCCCTCAGACACCTTCATGTCAGAATGTCAGAGGGTCTCCACAACTTGTACACAGAGGTATAGAATAAAAGGTGTCTGTGCTGGAGACTTCCCAGAAGGGTAAGGGTCTGAGGATGAGTTCCTCCCTGGCATCCTGCAAAGCTGGATGAAGGATTACCCAAGGAGAATGGCAGGGAGAGGTAATCTGAATCAGGTGATAGGGGATGGATTTTAAGGCTCAATGTTGTGATAGAGCAATCAAAATGTCAAGACTCTTATTTTTGTATGCTACATTGTAAGGGATTATTATATCACCAACCTAAGGTATCTCTTTTGTTTGTTATCCTAATAAAAATTTGCTTTTTTCTTTTTAATAGAATATGGATTGTGTTCAGTCCCATTTGAAAATAAGCTCTATCTAGTTGGTGGACAAACTACAATCACGGAATGCTATGACCCTGAACAAAATGAATGGAGAGAAATAGCTCCCATGATGGAAAGGAGGATGGAGTGTGGTGCCGTCATCATGAATGGATGTATTTATGTCACTGGGGGATACTCCTACTCAAAGGGAACATATCTTCAGAGCATTGAGAAATACGATCCAGATCTTAATAAGTGGGAAATAGTGGGCAATCTTCCAAGTGCCATGCGGTCCCATGGGTGTGTTTGTGTGTACAATGTCTGACTGAATCCATAGAAATGACCCAGTAATCACTGTTCTGGGGTGTAGTGAAAGAAAGAGAATTCAGGATTTGGAGTCCCTTATTTATCGTTGTAGACTGGCACATAATGGGTGAATTCCCATGCTTAACCCCCACTCTTCCCTTAACGCAGTGATTAATGGTCAAGAAAAATCCTATGTGTATTTACAGTTGAATCAGTAGGGTTAACACCTTATAATCTCTGCTTTTCAAAGGTAATATGGAATGTTGGACACTTGGTAAAAAGTAAAATACCTTTGTAGTGAATTTTTCTCCTGGTAGCATCAACACTGGGTGCAGGTCAGAATCATTCTGTGGAATGAAATGTCTCTTCTGACCCTGTAATGTATAGTGTATATTAAGATTCCATTTAGCTAGCAAGGAATTTGAAATTTAAGGAGGGAATCTTCTCTACCTCTACAAAATCAACACTTTAAAACAGCTTTTTTTTTCACAGTTGGGTGTATTTAGAATGTGGACTTTGTCTTTTTTTCTTTGTAGTGTGTATAATTTATTGTTGTTCTTCATTTACTGACTGCCTGAGGTATACAAGATACTGTGCAAAAGATTATTACTGTTCAGGGTTTACAAACTACATTTAAAAGAATGGCAAATCTGAAAAATTGCAGAGAAAATAGTTAAATACTTGCTAATGCTAAGAGCTATTTTTAATTTTCAGCCTTGATGTAAATTGCTAGTTTAGGTGTCTTTAGTTCAAGCATGTTAGAAAAATCCTCTTTATTCGTAAGTATAGATACATATCTGCATACACAATTGAATTTTAGAGCCAGAAAGCATGTGGAACCGTTGTGATGTAATAGAAAATATATTGATGAGAAGAAATTTGCATTCATTTCCCAGCTGTGCCACTAACTAGATTTTTGTAAATTGAGTCACTTAACATCTCCTCGATTAGAGCTTCATGACCCATGCACTTTGGGTCATAGATGTGCCTACATATGGGTCCCCATAACCCCTGGGGCAGCCAGAGGTAGCCTGGGTGGCTGGAGCCTCTGGGCAGAAACACCTTTGTCCACTTTCCCCAGTGTGCCTGTGGTATTACTTTCTGTGCGTGCCAAAACTTGAGAAAAGTTGGGAAGCATTGCTTAAGTTGCTGACGTTTTAGTGATCTGTTAGACCATCTGTCTATACTCTTCCTTTTCTTAAGAGACAGTAATTATTTTTAACTTTTATGGAAGTTGAAAACTACCTAATGCTTCTAATTTTTTTTTTAGAAAGAACCTGCTTAATGCATTCATTTCAGATGGCATTTTAAATAGACACAACCCTTTGGGAATTCAATATGGTACCACATAGAAGGAGCCCAAAAAATGACCATATCTTTGCCCCATAAATTCCACTCCTAGATTTGTAACCTAAAGAATAATATAAAAACAAAACAAAGGGAAATGCATGAGGATGTTTATGTCTGCATTATTTATAATAGCACAAAATTGGAAATAGTCTACATGTCAAAGAAGAAAGTGGGCTAATAAAATAATGAAGTATCATACTGCCATTAAAATAATTATTTGGAACACTGTAAAAACATGGACGTGTCTGTGATATGGTAAGTCAAATAAGCACAATATAAAAGACTATGCGCACTATGATTGTGACTTTGTAAAATCTTTTTGCATGTGGAAGGTAATATGCAAAACTGAAATCCATTGTGTTAGTGTAGGGGGATGTGGAATGATTTTTAATTTATTTAAATGTTTTTCTTTAATACTTGTGTTTTCAATAAAAATAAGTAAATCCCTGTATATGTGGTAAAACTGCTTGAATTTGGCCTGAGCGAATCAAAGGATAGTCAGAATTAGTGAAACCACTGAGTTATAGATTATGGGACGCCTGGGTGGCTCAGTCGGTTGGGCGTCTGCCTTCCGCTCGGGTCGTGGTCTCAGGGTCCTGAGATCGAGTCCCGTGTCGGGCTCCCTGCTCGGTGGGGAGCCTGCTTCTCCCTCTGCCTTCTGCTCCCCCTGCTTGTGCTCTCTGACAAGTAAATAAAATCTTTAAAAAAAAGGATTAAAAAAAGATTATTTCAGTCTATAATTGAATTATAGACTATTTTATTGCTTTCAAGAACACTTAGCAATTAATGCTGGGCCAGTAAATGTGATGCCCAGTAGTGTTTTAGAGATCTGTTTTATGGAGTAGATAAAACAATTGCAATCACCTTCCCCTGCTTTTATCGAGGTCCTATAAAATCCTGACTCGAGTCCAGCCTCTGGGAATTCTCTGCTGCTCAGCCCCAGTAAAACTCCTATTGTCACATGTAAAGGATTTATCATTATATATGTATAGTATATATAATTTTGAGTTCATGGGTCATATCTTATTTCTAGTTTTTTTCAAGGCCTAGTATTTCATTTTTCTCTCCAGTGTACTTTTTAATTTTTACTATTTATTTATTTTAAAGATTTTATTTATTTATTTGAGAGAGAGAGAGCGCGCACAAGCAGGGGGAGCTACAGAGGGAGAGGGAGAAGCAGGCTCCCCGCGGAGCAGAGAGCCTGATGTGGGGCTCAATCCCAGGACCCTGGGATCATGACCTGAGCCAAAGGCAGACGCTTGATGACTGAGCCACCCAGGCGCCCCTCCAGTGTACTTTTTAAAGAAAAATGATGGTATTGGTTATTTTTACAGAAAAGCATTCCACAGGTGCTTGAAAGATCTTGAAAATAGTTTGTGGCCTGAGGTATTTAATTTATTGCTCCTATTTTCTGTAAAATTCTGTTTTTGCTATTGCTCTGTGCACACAAGGAAGTATTAAGGAAGATAAGATAAACACTTCTGTCAGAATTATCCCAAGTTCCAAATCACTGTAGTATGAGTGAAAAATATTTTACTATAATTAAATGTAAGTCATTGCTTTGGGAAGGCCAGCACCATTTTGCAAAATAATTAAAATTGTGGAGATGATTTTAAGTATGACTGAATTAAGAGGACTCTAAGTATCCAAATTTTGAAGTTACTGTTTCTCAGGGCTCCTGGTTAGCTCAGGAGGTTAAGCGTCCGACTCTTGATTTCAGTTCAGGTCATGATCTGATCCCCGTGAGATCAAGCCCCGTGTGGGGCTCCATGCTGGGGGTGCAGCCTGCTTAAGATTCTCTCTCTCCCCCTCTCCCTCTGTCCCTCACCCCCACTCCCTCTTTCTCTCTCTCTCAATGAATGAATGAATGAAGTTACAGTTTCTCACAAGTCATATTTTTAGTTTTGAGCTGCAACCGAAATAGGGTCAGCATCTAGAGTACTTGCTTAAAGGTACATTAGCCTCTGTTTTCACATTCATGTAAATATATGCTTGTGTTATGGCCTGAATGTGTCCCCCAAAATTCATAGGCTGAAGCCCTTATCCCCAGTGTGACTGTAGAGATAGGGCCTTATGGAAGTAATTAAGGTTAACTGAGGTTATAAGGGTAGGGCTCTGATCAGATAGAATTAGCGTCCTTGTAAGAGACACCAAAGAGCTTTCTCGTTCCCTGCCTGTGTGAAAAAACGCAGCATCTGCAGGCCAGAAAGAGAATTCTCACCAGGACCCCATCTCATCTCAGACTTCCAGCCTCTGGAACTGTAAGAAACATTTCTGTTGTTTGAGCCACCCAATCTATGGTGTTCTGTTGCAGCAGCCTGAGCGGCCTAATACAGCCTGCAAAGGAGAGAGTGCTTTATACGATGTAGTGTAGGTGCTGAATCAGCCAGGAGTAGACAGTCCCTTCCCTAGACAGTCCCCTTACCTTCCCCCTCCCCCCTCCCACACAAAGCAACCAGAAACACCTGTTTTATTAGTCTGACAATGTCTGAAACTCTATAAATACTGCTTCATTTTTCTTAGGTGACAGGAGATGTAGCTAGGGGCTTCTGTCTGCCTAGTTCTTGCCAAGACTGTGTCTCTACTGATGCCCTAATCCCCTCCCTACAGGGACACCTACACATTTTGAAATTGTGAGTCATGAACTTTTAGCTCTTATTTTATTTTATTTTGTTTGTTTTTAGAGAGCACAAGCAGGGAATGTGGGAGGGCAGAGGGAGAGGAGAGAGAGAATCTCAAACAGGCTCCACGGTCAGTGCGGAGCCCAGTGTGGATGACCCCAGCCAAAACCAAGAGTTGGACACTTAATTGACTGAGCCACCCAGGTGCCCCCCTAGCTCTCTGATTTAAAACATAATATTCTCTTTGGGGCTTCCCTGGAGTGCTATTCAGCATCTTGCTCAAACCATCAGTGACTATTCTAGATTCCAATTAGCCACAATTTAGGGGTGTTCTAGGCTGGCTTGGGAAGAATCAGTGTAAATTGTGTCCAGTTGTACCCATAAGACTAACACTATTTCAACCTTTACCTTTGAAATTCAAACCACACCACAGGCTCTTACCTCTGTGTACCTACAAGTGCCTCTATTATAGAGGTTCTTGTTGCGGAATCTGAAATGCCAGAGCTGTGGACTTCAGCCTTAATAGGGAGAGATGGAACCAATTGTCATCTGTCACCGCCTTCCCCCCACCAAAACCCACATACCTTACCACTTGCTCAGCAGCATAGGACTGTTTGGGCACATGTAGTCTGGGAACACTCTTAGCAATGCCTGCCTGACGCTGAACCTTGCTAAATACACCTTTCAGTATACGTGCCGATGGGGACACAAAGGTAGCACTCGTGTTTCCCAGACATGTACTTCTGCAGCCCTCTTCTACCCATTAGCTCTTTCCTCCTCACACCTTCCTCACTGAGCAAATCAGACAAACCTCCCAGGCAAGAGATTGTAGGACCTTATGCATAGGCAGACATGGAGATAAGAGCTTCACTGGTTTATGTATGATTTCTTAAACCTTTTTGTAAACCGTCAAATACAAATACAGAAAGCCACATGAAACAAATGAACAGCTTAGTGAGTTATGAAAAGGCGAACCCTCTTGTCACTGGCATCCCTGTCAGGAGATAGGACTGGCCAAGCACTCCAGAGGCCCCTCCCAAACACAGCCTCCCACTCCCGTGAATAATCTCTGTCCTTACCATGGTGATTATTTTCTTTCTTCTACTGGTATTAGCACCTGCATTATTAGTTTCCTTTGGCTGCTATTAAAAAATTATCACAGGGGTGCCTGGGTGGCTCAGTCATTAATCATCTGCCTTCGGCTCAGGTCATGGTCCCAGGGTCCTGGGATCGAGCCTTGCATCGGGCTCCCTGCTCGGCGGGGAGCCTGCTTCTCCCTCTCCCTCTGCTGTTCCCCCTGCTTGTGCTCTTTCGCTCTCTGTCAAATAAATAAATTTTTAAAAAATTATCACAAACTGGGTGCCTTAAGACAACAGAAATTTATTCCCTCAAAGTTCTAGAGGCCAGAAGTCCAAAATAAGGGTTCTGCAGGGCTGCTGTCTCTCCGGAGTCTCTAGGGGAGAATCGTTTGATTCCAGCTTCTAG